GGCACCGGGGCCACCTGGAAACGGGAGCCAGCGAAGAGCAGCTTCTGTGAGGGTAGGGAGAAGGGGAGAGGTGACACAGCGAGGTGACACAGTGAGGGGGGGACACCCTGGGAGCCCTTCCCCATGGTACCGCTCACCTTCCGTCCAGCCAGGACCAGGCTCTCCACGGGCTGTGCTGGCTCAAAAACCTGCAGCTCCTCCACCAGGTGGACACCAGAGCCCAAGTTCAGCGCCTTGTGCACCCACCCATCACCTGAGGGTCACAGCACGTGGTGAGGGACATCCCCACGCTGAGACACCCTTGTGGTCCCCTCCCTGGGTGCCCCAAGTACGAGAGGAAACGGCCTCAGTTTGCCCAGGGGAGGTTTAGATTGCATCTTGGGAACAATTTCTCCCTGGAAAGGGTTGTCAGGCTGCCCAGGGCAGTGGTGGAGTCTTCCCACCCATGGAGGGGTTTAAACCACATGGGTGTGGCACTTCAGGACATGGTGGGGTTGGGTTGGACTTGACGATCTCGGAGGTCCTTCCCAACCTTAGCGGGTGTGTGATCCCGATACCTGTGCCGATGAAGAGCACCTCGTAGATGGTGCCATCCAGCCCGGGCACCCTGTCCACCACCAGCTGGGTGAAGTTGGCATCTTTCTTGAGGAGCAGCGGGCGGCCACGCTGGGGCAGGATGGGCTCGTCCATCAGTGGGTGCTTCTTGGCGAAGTTGAGGGTGTTGTCGGGCAGCTCCAGGGAGCTGGCGAAGCCGTTGCGGCGGTGCCAGTCGGTGATGCACTGGGGACAAGAGGGGACAAGAGTCAGGCTCACGGGAAGGATCCCACCACCCTCACCTGCCCCCGACACTCACTGCTCCAGGCCGAGGACTGGGCACCTCATCCGAGTAGCGGCCCCACTTCTGCGCCTGTTCCCGGTATTCCTTGTAGGGTCCTTCAAACGCCTTCTTCACCTCCAGGATGTGGTAGCGACAAATGGCCGAGACATCCACGTCCCCCCTGTGAGGGACAAGGTTCAGAAGAAAGCCACCAGTAACAGGCCACCCTCTGGGGTTCCCATTTTCCCCCCCTCTAGACTCACCAACGGGCTTGGAAGACCCCAAAAAAGGTGGTGTCCTGCCAGTTGTCCCCTGGGAGGGTGAAGACGGCCTGGAGGCGGTTGAAGTGGAGCTGCTGCTCGGGGGCTGAGCACACCAACCGGGCCTTCAGGAAGGTGGTCCACTTCTTCTGCAGCGTGCGGGCACCTCCCACGTCCCCCTGGGCACCCAGGCGGCGTCAAGACGGGGCCACCGGTGGCGGTGCCACGCTAGGAGGGTGTCCCCAGAGTTGTCCCCACCGCCCAGCGCCCCGTGTACCTTGCAGACCCGTGCCACACGGGCCACCACCTGCTCGGCGTAGCAGTCGTACTCCACCGCGCGCTCGCTGAAGAAGAAGTAAACCTTGTCATCGTCCCCCGTGCTGCTGGCTGTGCTCTCCTGCACGTAGGCTGATGCCACGAAGTGGGGCTCTGGGGAAAGGGTAAAAGAGGGGGTAACGCCCATGCTGGGGTGTGGTGGGGGTGTTGTCCTTGTCCCCCTCCTGACCCTACCGTTGAGCCAGGAGGTGAGATACTCCGTCTTCATGGAGTAGTGAGGGCCCAGGTTGCGGAGGATGACGGGCTCGGTGCCCAGGAAGTTGTTGAAGGTGGCAGAGTACAGCTCCCCATCTGCCAGGAATGGGGTTAGGGAGGGCGGGGGGGGCCCAGCGGGTGGCCCCCCCAACCCCAACAGGTGCTTGGTGGTGGCACCTACCCACGATGAGGCCGGTGTGTCCCTTGGTGGGGTCGTAGGGACATTTCCCCTTGCCGTCCTCGAAAGCCACTTGGTCGAGGGTGAAGCCAGAGAGTTCCTGGGAGGCACAAGAGTGGGTGGGGGGGTCACATCTCCCTGCACCCAGACTGGCCCCAAGCACAGGGACACAGCCCTAGGTGACCCTTCTGGGGACAGGGACACCCTGAGGTGAGTTGCCTGGGGACAGAGACAGTCCTGAACCACCCTCATGGACACAGGGATGTGTCCCTCTGGATGATGCTCCTGGGGACAGAGACACTAAAGGATGCTCCCAGGGACAGGGACATCTCTGGACCAACCTCCTGGGGACCGGGACACCCCTGGATGACCCATTATAGGGACAGGGACACCCCTAAATGACACTCCGGGGGACAGGGACACCCCCAGACCACCCTCATGGGCACAGGGACACCCCCAAAGCCCCCCGCCCAGGCACAGCAACACTCCACAGGGGGACACAGAATGACACCCCTAGGGACAAGGAACACCCCTAGAAGAGGCTCCTGAGTCAGGGAAGGGGGACTTGGGGACCTTGTCCAGGGTGGGAGGGATATGGGGGGGCCAGCAGGTTTTAGGGGGCCCCCTCCCCACTCACAATGTAGGTGCACTTGGGCTGGAAGGCGTAGGTGCCGCAGGCGTAGAGGTGGGAGCTGTTGTAGCTCTGCAGGAAGCGCACGTAGTTGAAGCAGTCAGTCTGGGAGGGGGCATCACATTGAGGTGGGGGGCACCCCAGGGTGCCCTGGCACCACCCCCTAACCTGTGCCGTGTCACTTGTGTGTCCCCACCCCCTCCCCACATCACCCATTCCTTCCCCACCTGGTTGTTCTTGCCCTTCTGGATGCACTCAGCTTTCTTGTCCGTGGGGGCTTCCCAGGAGATCTGGGGAGGGGGAAAAAAGGGTCAGGGGGGCTGAAAATAACAACCCCCCAACTCTTAAAAAATAAAACACACCCCCTCCAAGTCCACCCAGGGCCCTCTCACCGCTGCCTTGAGCTCCACAGTACCCGTGGCCAGGGCAAACACGGCCTCGCGGGCACCCACGTAGAGCA